CGTGACCTAAAAAACTAGTAGCAGCCTAACACTATTATCCACCCTGTCAATCATTCCTTACCCCTCCCATCACATCCTTTCTTTCTGTGGGGATTTACTGTGGGAGTATAAATTCATTTAATTATCACCTGAGTAAAATACTACAAAACAAAGCTATCTCTTAAATTAGTTCTACCAGGTGTGATGGCCCATACTTGTTATTTATTCATTTTAAGTACTAGGGATCAAACTTTGGACCTTGAGCTTGCTAGGCAGAGGCTTATGTGACTGAGCTATCTCCCCAGCCCTGATGGCCTGTGCTTATAATCCTAGCACTAACGAGGCTGAGGCAGGAGAATCAAGAGTTTGAGTTCATCTTATACTATATAGAAGACCCTCATTAAAAAAAAAAAAAAAGAAAAAAATTCAACGTGCAGCTCAGAGATGTTGGGTATTATAGTTGATACTGTGACCTTCTTTCATGAACAAACAAAATACTGTTTTTAGAAGGAAAAGGTGTGAGAGACATTTCATTATGTTGTCTAGTCTGGCCTTGAACTTCTGGCTCAAGCAATTCTCCTAACTCCATCTCCCCAAGCACCTGGAACCACAGGCAGGGACAAGTGACTTGGCTGAGGTTTTTTTATGCCTCTGTCTTTCTACACATTTACAAGAGAGAAAAGTGTGCTCCCAAAGGGACCCTACTGTCTCTCACAATCCAGAGTAGAAGGCCCAGAGGCTATGTATTTGTCCAAGGCTAGGCAGTGGAATGGGCTCAGGCAGAACTGAGTAGACCCAGGTGTGGTGGCACATATCTCTACCCCAGCACTCAGAAGGCTGAGGCAGAAGGATTGCCATGAGATTGAGGTCACCCTGGGGACATAGTGAGCTCAGCCTTCAGGACTAGCCTGGACAACATAGCAAGACCCTGTCCAAAAAAAAAAAAAAAAAAAAAAAAAAAAAAAAGTAGTCTTGAGCTTTTATAAATGGCTCACATTGTACTAATGATGGGACAAGAGATAAATTTTCTTTTTTTTTTTTTTAAATATTGATCCTTTCCCTTTATTTTTTTTAAACATTTATTTATTTATTGTGTGTGTGTGTGTGTGTGTGTGTGTGTGTGGCCAGCTCAGCCCACCAGGGGGCAAGGCTGGCTGGCATGTGGTGCTGGGGGATCGAACCGTGGTCCCTGTGCTTTGCCAAGCTTGTTCCATGTAGGTGCTTTAGACCACTGAGCCATCTCGCCAGCCCCAAGAGATAAATTTTCTAACAGAAGTATAGAGACGGGGATTGTATAGAAATGTGACTATCAGTCTCCCCCTTGACTCCGTAGGAAGATTGCTGGACTCATGTTGAGGGGTTTCCTTACATGAACCAGTCATTGTGAGATAGTCCACAGCAGTCTCACTGGTAGTCTCTGAGGGGAGACCGAGAAAGGGCAGATTCTTTGCCGCATTACTGAGAATTTGGAATAGACGTTTGGGGCTGAAGTGCACAGGGCTGGGGGTGAGTTACTAGGAATGCCAGGCATGGCTCACATGGGACGGTCCTGCCTGTTGGCGTGGGAAGGAGAAAGGACTTGGGAAGCCAGGGAGGCTGGAAGGCTTTGGAGTCTGTCTGGGGCCTCTGGGAGGGTTTAGACTGCTTAGTATCCTCCTGGGCTTATTAGTTCTGAAAGGAGTTAACAAAGTGGAAAGAAACTTGGCTCTTGCCAAGAGACCCTGGCAGTTTAGCAAAATCATGCTGCATCCGGGGCCCTGTGCTTGAGGCTGTTTTTTTTTTTTTTTTTTTCTAGCCCAAATCAGTCCCTTTCCTTGGCAGTCTCTACCCAGCTGCAACCTGGCACCAGCCACCCTCCACACCTACGCACGGGCTGCAAGGGCGTGAGCTGTCTGCAGGAGTACAGCTGGTCAGCGGCTTTACCAGGCTGGGCTGTAGGGGAGGGTGTGTTGGAAAGGATCCTGCGAGACAGGCAGAGGCAGTGAGTGGGGCACTGGAGCCTCTGTAAAGGAATGAAGGAGGGAGTGGCAGGGCCAGAGAAAAAGAGCTGGATGGAGAGAAGGCATAAAGGAGGGGAAACAAGATGCTTCTCCAGTGTCTCTCCACACTTCTGCATCCAAGCTCACAAGATGCGAGCTTCCTGGAGTGTCACACTCTAGTGTACCTCCTTGTACTCTGGCACTGACCCACCCAGCACCTTCTCTATGCTCTAACAATGAGCTTCTAAATATTCTCCAAGATTTGTGGACTATCCTGGCCCATGAGAGGGATCTGAGCATGCCAAGTGGCAGTAGCAGTTTAGGGGCATGACTGGGCTGGCTGCAGTGGATAGTACCTGCGAAAGCAGAGGCAAGAGCACATGCCCAAAGGGTGTGTGCCTGCCACTCACTGCTGAGGCTAGTACAGTGCCCCTCCTCAGCGACCACTCTCTGGGGTACTCACTGAATGCCCCACCTCTGCTAGTCTAGGATCCTCTTTAGTTCAGTTCTGCGTCCCCTGTCTCTCTTCTAAGTCTGAAAAGGCAGTAAGGGAGGAAAATATGGCCACATGTGGCAGCACAGGCCTGTAACCCCAGCACTCCTGAGATAGGAGGATCGAAAATTTTAAGCCTATCTTGGGCAATTTAGGGACTTCTTTTTTTTTTTTTTTTTTAATTTATTTATTTGTGTGTGTGTGTGTGTGTGTGGCCAGCTCAGCCCACCAGGGGGCGGGGCTGGCTGGCATGTGGTGCTGGGGG